GGATGCATATAATGATACAATGTATAATATGATGCATATAATGATACAATGTATAATGGAATGTATATAATGATACAATGTATAATGGAATGTATATAATGATACAATGTATAATAGGATGTATATAATGATACAATGTATCTCTCTCCTCCATTCACAGAGAGAAAAAAAACAAGGGGGCCGGGCTGTACAGTGACTGATCACTGTGATATCCAATCAGAGGCTATCACAGCAATCATGTGACCCGGAATCAGGAGTCCCTATCGTTAGAATGGGACCCGGGGCTCTCAGTGACACCAGGGTCTTTGTGCTGGAAGCGCGCAGTGCAGCACGCTCCCAGCACAAGGACAGGTACACAAATATGCGTCCCCACGGAGGCCGCATATTTGTGTGACGTCGGCATCAAGGGGTTACAGTACACCTCACTGGGGAATATATAGAACCCGGCTCTCTGGAAATTTTTTTTTTTTTTTTATTCATGCCTGATATTTAGGATTTGCAATTTGTTTCCATGTTTTGTTTTTTTACCTGAACTTATAAATGTGTGTGGGTCCATGAGAGGGTGATTGTTGCATCATTATTTTTCTTTTTTCTTTTTTTGTTCAAATATTTTATTAATTTTCAGTGACAAAAGGAAGAAAACAATCTTTGGACAATCCATGTATATATAGAGGCATATATAAATACAGGAAAAAAATGTTGTCCTACGGGAAAGGGGGAGTATCAGATGAAAACATGTTACAAGGAACCATGAAAAACATGAAGGGATACAATGGCAAAATGGAAGGTAGGATCCAAGTGTGCAGCAGACCGGGAGCACTGCTCCCAGAAGCCATAGGAAGGTTCCACGTGAGGCAAAGAGGCCATACAGGTGGGTCTCGCTCTGGGGGCCAATGAGCACTAATCTGGTTTACCACCAGAGTTACTTCTTCCCCTATCCGCCCAGGGGGTGCGGGTGTACTCACTCAGATCCTCTCCTGTACTGCTGGTGGGTCGGTGGCTGCTTCCAGGTCTATCAGCTGGGCCACTCCTTCCCTGTCATACAGGTGGTTCTTGCTCTGGGGGCCAATGAGCTCTGAACTTTCCTTATTTCCAGCTCCAGGCCTGCATGTAGGCCCCATCCCATTGGGCCTCCTCACAGCCTCCTTCCTCCAGCCTCACATCCTCCTCACTATCTTCCACCCGAACTCTCCTGCAACTGAGCAGGCTCCCACACTTTTAAGGTAATCCCAGACCCTTGCCAAGCCTTCTCTTGGGGGCTGGCTAGGATCCCTCAAAGAGTGCAAGCCATCCACTCCTCAGATGCACCTACTGCCTCTAGGGCCTTCCTTCAAAGTTCTAGAGTAGGGGGAAATTCTAGAGGGGCTGGCCTGCAAAGCCTCTCAGCTCCTGACCACAATTTGACCCCTCTGACTTTTACACCCGGGAAAGGAGGAGTGAGGAAAAGAGAGAGAGACAGAAGTGAGTAGAAAAGAGGGGGGGGGGGGAATAGAAGAGACTGAAAGAAGGAATAGAGGAGAGAAAGAAAGGATGTGTGACTTCCAGAAGGGAATATATAATCCCGGGACCATATCAGTGTATAACTTGGCAAATAGGATTGCCACAATGTGGGATTAGGGGATGTGAAGGAAAGAGCAACGAATCATCAAAGTTCGGTGGGGGGAAATGTTCCACCAAAGAGGTCCAGAAATGTAGGAACAGAATCTAGGATGGTGACTTCCACTTTGGCATGAATCATAGTTTGTGTAACCTTGTGCCAGAATACACCGAGACGGAGGCTTCCACGATTGGCCACCATCTGTTTAGCTGCGGTGGTGACTTACAAGAGGAGTTGAAATTGGGATTTGGAGATGGAGGGAGGGTGCAGATTTAGGAGGGTTACAATTGGGTCCGGTGGGATTGACTTTGTAAAGAGCAGGGATAACATATTAAAAACTTCGGCACCATTGTGTTTCTAAGGTGATTTTTGAATTTTTCGGGAACGTCGGAGGATTTGTTCACCTGCTCAAGGTGCGCTTCTTTTGCAGCTGTTTTTGCAATTTTTTGTACACGTTTAAAAAAAATAGCTTCAGGCCTGAAGATGACACAAAACCTCCCAAAACACGATGTATTTTCTGAAAACAGACACCTTAGAGAATAAAATAACGGTAGTTCCAATTTTTTATGTCATACGATATTACCGCAAAGGTCCAAGAAATGCAAAATCTCAGTAAAAACACACTTGATCCAGGGAATATTCACTTAAAAAAAAAAAAAAGGTAGCGCTCTGACCAAATAATCAATAATCACAAAAAACCATCAACAGAACATGAAAAGAAAATATAAATTAATTAAAAAAGAAGAGAAAAAGTGAAAAAAAAGTGTATCAAAATCCAAAAATATGATCTTAATTGCAAACAAAATATCACAAACTCATTTTATCAAACAAATTAATTATCCAGTTTCATAATGAAAAAAAAATATATATTCTAAAAAAAATCACTATCAAACATCACAAAAATGTCCAATAATAGTGTCAAGTATAAAAAAAATCTATACGTGAAAAAAACTTTTTGAATCAATCAAATTCCAATGTGCAAATTGATAAAGAAAAAAAAAAGTGTTATCTTAAACTTCAGTGCTCCAAACTGGAAATTCTTGAAATAAACAAAACACAAAACACCCTGAAAAATTCACCATCAGATGAATTAACCACTTCATGTCCGGACACTTTCACGGACACTTACCCCCCCTTCCAGTCCGGACACTTCCGGACACTTTCCCCCCCCTTCCAGTCCGGACACTTTCCCCCCTTCCAGTCCGGACACTTCCCCCCCCCCTTCCAGTCCGGACACTTTCCCCCCCTTCCAGTCCGGACACTTTCATCCCCTTCCAGTCCGGACACTTCCCCCCTTCCAGTCCGGACACTTTCACCCCCTTCCAGTCCGGACACTTCCCCCCCTTCCAGTCCGGACACTTTCACCCCCTTCCAGTCCGGACACTTTCACCCCCTTCCAGTCCGGACACTTTTCCCCCCCCTTCCAGTCCGGACACTTCCCCCCCCCTTCCTGTCCGGACACCCCCCCCTTCCTGTCCGGACACTCCCCCCCCCCTTTCAGTCCGGACACTTTCCCCCCCTTCCAGTCCGGACACTTCCCCCCCTTCCAGTCCGGACACTTTCCCCCCTTCCAGTCCGGACACTTTCTCCCCCTTCCAGTCCGGACACTCCCCCCCCCTTCCAGTTCGGACACTTTCTCCCCCTTCCAGTCCGGACACTTCCCCCCCCTTCCTGTCCGGACACTTTCCCCCCTTCCAGTCCGGACACTTCCCTCCCCCTTCCTGTCCGGACACTTTCCCCCCCCCCCCTTTCCAGTCTGGACACTTTCACCCCCTTCCAGTCCGGACACTCCCCCCCTTCCAGTCCGGACACTTTCTCCCCCTTCCAGTCCGGACACTTCCCTCCCCCTTCCTGTCCGGACACTTTCCCCCCCCTCCAGTCCGGACACTTCCCTCCCCCTTCCTGTCCGGACACTCCCCCCCCCCCTTTCCAGTCTGGACACTTTCACCCCCTTCCAGTCCGGACACTTTCCCCCCTTCCAGTCCGGACACTTTCCCCCCCCCCTTTCCAGTCTGGACACTTCCCCCCCCCCTTCCACTTTCAGTCTGGACACTTTCCCCCCCTTCCAGTCCGGACACTTTCCCCCCCTTCCAGTCCGGACACTTTCCCCCCCTTTCCAGTCCGGACACTTTCCCCCCCTTCCAGTCTGAACACTTTCCCCCCCTTCCACTCCGGACACTTTCCCCCCCTTCCAGTCCGGACACTTTCCCCCCTTCCAGTCCGGACACTTTCATCCCTTCCAGTCCGGACACTTCCCCCCCTTCCAGTCCGGACACTTCCCCCTTCCAGTCCGGACACTTTCACCCCCTTCCAGTCCGGACACTTCCCCCCCTTCCAGTCCGGACACTTTCACCCCCTTCCAGTCCGGACACTTTCCCCCCCCCCCTTCCTGTCCGGACACTTTCCCCCCCCTCCAGTCCGGACACTTCCCTCCCCCTTCCTGTCCGGACACTTCCCCCCCCCCCCCTTTCCAGTCCGGACACTTTCACCCCCTTCCAGTCCGGACACTTCCCCCCCCCCCCCTTTCCAGTCTGGACACTTTCCCCCCCCCTTTCCAGTCTGGACACTTTCCCCCCCCTTCCAGTCCGGACACTTTCCCCCCCTTTCAGTCCGGACACTTTCCCCCCCTTTCAGTCCGGACACTTTCCCCCCCTTCCAGTCCGAACACTTTCCCCCCCTTCCACTCCGGACACTTTCCCCCCCTTCCAGTCCGGACACTTTTCCCCCCCTTCCAGTCCGGACACTTTCTCCCTCCCTTCCTGTCTGGACACTTTCACCCCCTTCCAGTCCGGACACTTCCCTCCCCCTTCCAGTCCGGACACTTTCACCCCCTTCCTCTCCAGGCCAATTTTCAGCTTTCAGCGCTATCACACTTTGAATGACAATTGCGCGGTCATGCAACACTGTACCCGTATGAAATTTTTAGCATTTTTTGAGAGAGATAAAGCTTTAATTTGGTGTTATTTATTCACTGCTGGGATTTTTTTTTTTTTGCTGTATAAATGAAAAAGTCCAAAAATGTTGAAAAAAAAGTGTTTTTCTTATAACATTTTGCAAATAAATAATCTTTCTTCATAAATCTCGGCCAAAATGTATTCCGTTATCATTTTAGTGAAAAAAAAAAAAACCCAAACCAAAAATTATAATTTTTCAAAAAATGTGTTTACATTTTTATTTTATTTTTTATATTATTATTTATGATTTTTTTTTTTTGGGGGGGGGGGTTTACATACTGTCACCCTAGCAGTACAGGGTCACCATGGTGACACTGTACTACTTGTGGGGAGGTGATGAAGATTTTTTTCCTTTTTTTTTTTTACACTGATTGCTTTTACACCCATAAAGGCTGTAAAATCAATCACTTCTCCTTCTCTCTGGCTGCATTATTGCAGCCATTGAAAAATACTGTGTGAGCTGTGACTGGTCACAGCTTGTCACATGGGACAAGGCTGATGTGAATGGCCCTGTACCATGTGACCTCTGTGATCATTCACACATTTCACACGTAGTAAGCAATGATGTCAGCAAGTGACATCTTGCTTACTACTATTCATGTGATCACTGATTGGCCAATCAGTGATCACCTGATCGGGACCTCGCACAGAGGTCCCGTATAACGATCGGTGTTCCACTGTGGATCGCAGTGCTGCACGCTCCCAGGGAGCACGCACAAGCAGTGGGCGGGGCGGCCGTTTATAAATGGTCACCCGCTCCTGCACTGCCACCGTCCGGCCGTTTATATACATGGGCCGGACAGGAAGTAGTTAAATAAACTCACCAGAGCAACATGCTGGTCAAATTATAAACCAGCACACACACACTTTCGCTCTGGGAGCAACGATCTGCAGATTGATGGCCGGCAATTGGGAGGTGATTCAATGGACATTAATATCTTGTTGACATCAAACTCATAAAGGAAGAGAGAGGGAACTAATAGTTCCTGAAGACGTCATAGATGACGAAACGCGTTAGAGGGAGTCAGAACGAGTGACATCAGCACGCAGCGGAACACGGCGGCCATCTTGTTGGTTAGAAACTTACCATTTGGTGATATGGTGACATGCTGTTTTAAGTATATCTTGATGAACGTATAATACTGCGTTGTAAGGCAATAAATCCTGCTAATTATTCTACACCATGAGGATTATTTTGCTTTTTGGATGATTTTGTCCTCTTTGAGGATAATTCATTATTTTAGGTCTATATTTGGCAATTTATCTGAAGTATCATTTTTTGAGCTCATACTTTGATTTGGGAATCCAATGAGAGTGATCCTATTGGCATCTATCTACATCCAGTGTCTGGAGGGCACCGTATTATCCCCCCAAAGGTAGCAGTAACGGAGTTCGTCATCCTAATTTGGTATCCGTACTATGCTTTTCTTGACCGTCGCTTAATTGTGGGGTCACATATGTCTGGTATTTTTTGAGGTGCTGGTGATCCCCAAGAAGTTTATTTAGATTTTTTTGATGTATAATAATTTTTTTGCATATATTTTTTTTTGGAAGCCCAATTTTCCCTGAAATTATTTGAACTTTCATTTTTCACTAAAGACTTTTGTTTATTTAAGGGTTTTTTTTTTTTTGCACAATATTGGCCTTTTTGTATGTATTATTTTTGATGTTTAGTAGTACTTTTGAATGTATAGCGCTGCACATGTTTGTTTTAATAGTGTAAAATCGTAATGGCAATTTTTATTTATAAAAATTTTCCATAAATTACATTCACATTCTGTAGTGCCAAAGCCGACACTAGCTTGAACAGCGTATACAGCGCAAATTCACAAAAGACCGCTTCGGTGTCAGCTGACCCCCACAGCTCACTGGGCGTGGTGATGTCACTCCAAGACTCCACCCAATTTGCCTCTCGAGGGATCAGGAAGGAATTTTTTCCCCTGCAGGAGCAAATTGGATCGTACTTTGCTGGGGTTTTTTTTGCCTTCCTCTGGATCAACTGTGTGTGTAGGGTTATAACTTTTTGTTTTTAACCACTTTTCCCGTGCAGCTGTTTAATATAAACGGGCCAGACGGTGGCAGTGCAGGGGCGGGTGGTGTTTATAAATGGCCGCCCGCCCCTGCTTGTGCGTGCTCCCTGGGAGCACGCAGCACCACAATCCGGTGCCCGCTGTGTCCTCCGGACACAGTGGAACACCAATCGTCGTACGGGACCTCTGTGCGAGATCCCAAATCATGTGATCACTGATTGGCCAATCAGTGATCACATGCAGAGTAGTAAGCAAGATGTCACTTCTGACATCATTGCTTTCTACGTGTGAAAATCTGTGAATGATCACAGAGGTCACATGGTGCAGGGCTATTCACAACAGCCTTGTACCATGTGACAGGCTGTGAGCAATCACAGCTCACACAGTATTTCTCAATGGCTGCAGGAATGCAGCCAGAGCGAAGGAAAAAGTATTCCTCTTACAGCCTTTAGGGGGGAAAAGCAATCAGTGTAAAAAAAAAAAAAAATTATGATCACCCACCACAAGTAGTACAGTGTCACCATGGTGACATTGTACTACTAGGATGACATGTAAAAAAAACCAAAACAATAATATAAAAAAAAAACTTAAAAAATTATAATTTTTTTTATTAACTTTTTTTTTTTTTGTTTTTTTTTTACTACAAATATAACGGAATACATTTTATTTATGATTTATGATGAAATATTATTTATTTGCAAAATTTTATAAGAAAAAAAACACTTTTTTTCAAAATTTTTGGACTTTTCATTTACATAGCAAAAAAAATAAAAATCCCAGCGGTGAATAAATACCACCAAAATAAAGTTATATCTGTCTCAAAAAAATGCTAAAAAATTCATCTGGGTACAGTGTTGCATGACCGCGCAATTGTCATTCACAGTGAGATAGCGCTGAAAAAATTGGCCTGGATAGAAAGGGGGACGGGGGGGGGGGGGGGGGGAAGGGGGGGGAAAGTGTCCGGACTGGAAGGGGGGGAAAGTGTCCGGACTGGAAGGGGGGGGAAAGTGTCCGGACTGGAAGGGGGGGAAAGTGTCCGGACTGGAAGAAGGATAAAAGTGTCCCGGACTGGAAGGGGGATAAAAGTGTCAGGACTGGAAGGGGGGGGAAAAGTGTCCGGACTGGAAGGGGGGGGAAAGTGTCGGATAAACTGGAAGGGGGGTGAAAGTGTCCGGACTGGTTTGAAAGTGTCGCGGGGGGGAAAGTGTCCGGACTGGAAGAAGGATAAAAGTGTCCGGACTGGAAGGGGGATAAAAGTGTCCGGACTGGAAGGGGGTGAAAGTGTCCGGACTGGAAGGGGGTGAAAGTGTCCCCGGACTGGAAGGGGGGGAAAGTGTCCCGGACTGGAAGGGGGATAAAAGTGTCCGGACTGGAAGGGGGATAAAAGTGTCCGGACTGGAAGTGGTTTATGGTTGAACTGGATGGACTTTTGTCTTTTTTCAGTCAGACTAACTATGTAACACTAAAGTGAATTTTAGGGCAAACGCAAAAACGTACCCAAATTTTTGATAAAACGTAAAAAACAAGAAATAGACACCCAACATGCCAAACATTAAATATGTGTGCGCCTGTGAAATGGTGTCAAACGTCAGTACCCTATATTTTCTATAGGCGATCATTCAAAAGCCCCTACAGGTCATCAGTTTAGTGTTACGGAGGAGGTCTGCGCCTATAATGATCGCTCTCACTCCGGCGTGTGCGATGATATGTAACATGTGTATCTCAATTGATGTTTTCAAGTATAGACGGCCCGACATGTGCGTTTAAGTTAGTACGTGCATATATATAGGGGGTGGGGGGGCCTCAGATTTTTTTGGGGGGGATGTTCTGTGCTTGGGTTTAACTTCATTTTTTTGCAATTAACAAAAATGCAGATCGAATTGCAATACATGATCCCCGGGTATTCTAGCCGGGGAAAGTGACGGCCAGGACCTGGAAGTGATGTCACACACGTCACCTTCTGGGTCACAGAGAGAAGGGGAGGAGAGCGGACATTCGTTATTCCTAACCTCTCCTCTCCCCTCCACCCGCTGGCTTCTGCCATGGCACTCCCCAGACCCCCCGCTGGTGGGGAGCACCAGTATCGCCCGACTGCTGCCACCTGACGGGCAGGAGTCTTTTTGGTCCATACAACATATGGACTTGGCAGCAAAAGGGTTGTTGTTACAGGCTTGGGACATTGTCAATAGTATGGGACACACGGACAACCCTCCTAGTGTATTGTAGTCTGCTAGGCCAATCTAGCTTAGGGATTGATTATTTAGGGCTGCTTGGTGTCTCACAGGCTGCTGCTATGTTACTTCCCCATCTTCTAGAGGATGTTAGAAACACAGTGGGAGCAGAATCTTGCGCTGTGCTACTCAAGCCTCAGACTATTTATGGGATCCCTCACCACCTACTGGACACACCTTCCCAGAAAGTGGCTCACAGGCTGCTGCTATGTTACTTCCACATCTTCTAGAGGATGTTAGAAACAAAGTGGGATGAAGAACAGAATCTGCAGTCTGAAAAATTCATGGAACTACAGCCACTCTCTGGGGAGGTGTGTCCAGTAGGTGGTGAGGGATCCCATAAATAGTCTGAGGCTTGAGTAGCACAGCGCAGGGTTCTTGGGTCCAGTCCTGCAGGAGGAGACCCCTGTGCAGGAGCTCTGCACCCTGGTAGAAGTATGGAAGGACGCTGTTAAGGAAGACACTTGATGGTCCCAGCTTGGTTTAGAGCCCGGGGGGCCTATTCACAAGCTCAAGTCGAGTCTGGAGAAACTTACTGGAGAAAGCCAGAAGGAATTTGGTAGGAAAGAGTCCAGTTATGCTATGGTGGCATGGTAACCGGACCCCAACTGCACTTGAGTATATTCCTAGACTACTGTTCCCCATCTGAACACCGTCCGGACACCCGCTGACCCATACTGCACTTAAACTAGAACACACCAGTCTTGGAAGGAAACCAGGTAGACTACTTGGTTACACACAGATACATAAACCTTATACTGGAACCAAAAACTTAACACTACCACCTACATATGCAAAGAGATCCAAACACTAGCCCTACCCCACCTCCAATCTACCCCCCCCCCCCCCCCCCCCCCCACCAACCCACAACCCCCCCCCCCACAACAACCAACCCACAAGTTTGCTCCCATAACAAGAGCTATCATAGACCAGCCCTGACCCCCTCCCATTTCAACAAGGAATGCACTCAAACACAGGACAATGCAACAAAGAACACCTCTAGCAGACACCCCCCACCCCCTGTACCCAGATAGTAACACCGTTGGTACACTGGCTGTTCAGGGAAATGAATCAAACCCCCCACTGGCTGCCAGAACACAGACATCCATATTTATCACCCATGTACCCCAAACAGGCACAGGGTGACCCACACACACAAGAGGGAATATGGGAGTGTAATGGAACCAGACCCCGACTGCACTTGGGTACTCTGTCTGTTGGGATACTCCACTTCCCTGTCAGAACATTCATCCATGACCATACAAGACTAGACGAGACCAGTCTTGAAGGAAACCAGGAGATAGACTACTTTATTTTAACATACAGAGAGGAACAGAAGTATTTGCACCCTCTGCGATTTTGCAAGTTCTCCCCACTTCTCCATCATGGAG